GCTACTAAATATCCTTTCCTGCTAAATATTAAACAATGGATTTTCTCATCTGCCGAATCTTTTCTGCGATTTTTATTTGTCTTTCTTGATCTCTTGCTAAGTTGGTGATGATGATGATGATGATGATGTTATGATGGATGGATGTTTGGGGATGAGATTAGGGGGGTTGCATATTGGAAGGTAGATGAATGGAGAAATAGTGGATGGAATGATGAGTGATGGGTGAGGAATATGGGAGGAAAGTAAAGATACTAGAATAGTATCAATCTTCTTTTCATGAATGAATAATGAATGGATGATTCATATACTATTGAAAATATTCTAAAATCAATTACCATACATTATATTCCTATCTATTTGTTTATCTGCTTGTGTCGTCGCTCTTTTGCTTTTGTTTTTCTTCTTGATTGAAGTACTAGGTAGTTGATGGTGTGTGATTGTGCGGATGGTTGATTTGGGAAGGAAAGGAAGGGAGGGAAGGAGACGAAGGAAGGGAAGGGAAGAAGTGAGTTTGGAATCTTGGGATTGGTTTGGTTTGTGTGGGTGATTGTAGGTTCTTGGGGGTGGAAGAGGGGAGTGGAAGAGGGGGGTGAGTGAGCTGGTGTGAATATGAGTTTGAAATCTTGGGGTTGGTTTGGTTTATGTGGGTGGTTGTAGGTGGTTGTAGGTGGTTGTAGGTGGTTGTAGGTGGTTGTAGGTGGTTGTAGGTGGTTGTAGGTGGTTGTAGGTGGTTGTAGGTGGTTGTAGGTGGTTGTAGGTGGTTGTAGGTGGTTGTAGGTGGTTGTAGGTGGTTGTAGGTGGTTGTAGGTGGTTGTAGTTCTTGGCGTGGAGAGGGGGGGTGGAAGAGGGGGTGGAAGAGGGGAGAATGGAAGAGGGGTGAGTGATAGGGGGATGAGTGAGTGAGTGGGTGAGTGAGGATATGAGGGAGTGAGGATTTGATAGATAGGTAGGTAGGTAGTTATCTATATGTATATATATGTATGTATATATCTATTTGTTATGTCATATTGTATTATATTATATAAAAATATATCGTATTATATTAAAATACTACTCCTCTTTTTATTATTTTTATTCTTGTTTTTTATAGAGAAAGGAGAGGAGGTAGAGAGAAGGGGAGGGAAAGGAGAGGAGAGGAGAGAAAGGAGGAGAGAAAGGAGATGAAGAAGATAATATAGTATAATATAGTATAATACAATACAACTCTAACAATCTCAAAAATCAGATAGAGTACTAGTAGGGGTATTATGTTAATTAATTATAAGTTACCTACGTAGGATCTCTCTCGCTATCTCTCTCTCCATCTCGCTGTCTCCATCCATCTATCTATCTATCTCTTTAGCAGAAAATCTGTATGCATGCATGCATGTATGTTCTATAAAAGAACCTCAAGAATTTCATCACACTTTCTTCTCTCCTCTCTCTCACTTTCTTCTCTCCCTCTCTCCCCCTTCCCTTTCCCCTGCCTCTTCCCCTACCTCTCAATCCATTAATCGCTCATTAACATGCTTAAACACATAAAGCTTCGCTCGCTATCAGAAACACAATACAACACACCACAATACAACACAACAAAACGAATGACAAGCCATGAAAAACTTTCATCATCTTGAGTATATCATGTGCATCTTCCTCTAATCATCAAACCATTCCACATTCCACAATCTCATCATCTCTTTCATCAAACATTACAACTTCCTTCTTCCCTTTCTCACACCACTTCACAACCTCCACCTTCCCCTAACTTCTCATCTCACTCCACATAAATGGAACGATGACCACACATGCCTTCCAAAAAACCTCCATACTCTGTTCTATTGCCCACGGAGCCTTCCAAATTCCCTTTACCCCTCCCATGATATCTCCCATCAAGATCCAAATCGCCAGTACTGCCACTGAAAAAAAGTGATAAATTAATACTAACGGTTGTCTAATGATTCCCGCCAATAACCCTGCAGGACCTTCTATACAATTTCCTCCTCGCTTGAAATAATGAAAACATCCTTTTTGTAATGCCTTGAGTTGTGGATCATTAGCTGCGAAAAGTGCATAGAGGGCTTGGGCGAGGATATTGATGATGGAGGAAAGAGATTTGCGACGCCAGTGAAATTCTTTCATGGCTTTACTTATAGCAACCGTGTCGTTTAGATTTGGGATGTTGGAGGGAGAAAGTAAAGAGGATAGGAGAACAACATCATTAAAGGCTACAGTCATACCACCACCAGTTAGGGGATGACGCATATTCATTGCATCACCAAGGAGAAGCACTCCTTTTTGAGTTTGGGTGGACGGAGGGAGAAAACTATTTGGCATGCTGCGGGGAATTTTGCCATCTTCGAGGGCTTTGAGGAAACAGGGTCGAACTTGTGGTGGGAGGACTGGGAGGACGACGGTATGGATATAATTCCGTACGCCACCTGCAGCGGCAGATGCAGCGGGGATATTGTCGGGAATATCTATTAGAGCGCGAGTTTCGTGAGTGCCGATTTGATAGAGAAGAACTGGGGAGACGTCTGAGAGGACTACGATTCCATGATTGGGAGCTGGCATGGGACAATCGATTAATTCTAGAGCGTAGAATTTACTTTTGACCACTGGGGTTTTGTTGATATATTGCTTGCGAAATTTGGAGGCATATCCATCTGCGATGATTGTGAGATGACCAAAATAACAATCTGCTTCTTTTTCGCCCGTAGCTGGATTGGTAGTTCGTGTATGGACTCCGAGGACTTGGGCTGAATTGTGTCCGCCAGTTATGGTTTCTGTAACTTCTGTTTCGACAATTGTGATATTGGGTTGACTGGCGCAAGCTTTCCTTAACTGCGAAATAAATCTTCCATGATGAAAACTTCTTCCCTCTGGTCTGGTGCTCTTTTCATTCTCCGATCCTCTAAATCCTCCTTCTTGTGCTGCGCCGGCATTTGGTGGGTAAGGTATGGAAACGGGTGTACCATGATATATAACTTCATATCCTTTCACCCTTATCGAATCAATGCCTTCTAAACAATGTGCGAGTCCGAGTTTTTCGAGTGCGGAAACACCACCTGGTTGGAGCAGTTCGCCGACTATACGATCCGGTTCTTTAAGCCAACGTTCGAGCAGAATAACACTGCGACCTTGTTGGGCAAGTGCATAAGCTATTGCGCAACCGAATATACCAGCGCCGACTACGACTACATCTGCTTCGTGGTAAACGCGACGTCTTTCTTCGTTTGCGGATTGTATGGTGTAAGGTTTTGACATTTTGGATATGAGGGTCGGTATGTGAGAGTTGGTATGTGAGAGTTGGTATGTGAGGGTTGGTATGAGAGAGTTGAGGATGTTGTAGATATGTAGATAGGTATGTAAGTATGTAGGTGGTGAGTAAAGTTTGCAGATATAATATCTGCTATAATAAGAGGAGGAAGGTAGGTATGACAGCAATTCTTCCGACTCTTGTCTATGAATCAATCAATCAATCAATCAATCAATCTATTATATGAGTGAATGAGTGAGTGAAGAATCAATGAATGTTAGGAATCAACATATAACATATCCCGTCATTAATCGTGGGTATATAAAAAAGGGTTAAAAAATCCAAATGGTATACTCGTGTATCAATAAAATAAAATAAAATAAAATAAAATAAAATAATATAATATACTATACTAAACAATGAATGATATAAAGCAAGCAAGCAATGAGCTGATTTCTCCTCTCTCGCACTCTTTCTGGATAAGCAAAATATCAGGGTCAAGATGAACTGACAGATGGATGATGAGTATATTTCCAATAAATCTTACGATTAAAATTCCTATCCTAGCCTTCTCTATTCTTTCATTTCTAGACTTTTCTAGCCCAAGGGCTGGTGGGCGGTAGCTGGGTAGATTATTATCATATGAAAGATCAAAAATTATGATCATGATTGCACCCCCTGGTCAAAATACAATGTGGCGGTAGGGGATTTCTGTGTCCCGGGGTGAAAGATGATTGGATGAGATTTCCAATTGATAATGATGATTAAGCTATTTTGGCTTGGCATCGGTGAAAAGTTTCTACAGGAGGGAGGTTGAGAGTGTCACGTGGGTGTATCTAGTATGGAGGGAGCGAGGGTGGTTTTTGGATTGGAAGAGTAGAAGGGTAGGAGAGTAGAAGAGTAGAAGAGTGAAGAGTGAAAGAGTAAAGAAAAGACTGGAAGGGATAAAACTGAGTGAGTGAAGATCGAAAGACCAAAAGAGTGATTACATAAGCATATTCCAGAAGAAATCTATGAAGCACTAGTACGGGTATCCAATGCAGGGAAATGAAAAAAGGGGTAAAAGTTGGGAAAGATCCTAGGTGCGTGATTGGATTAGGATGGATTTTCAGGTACGAACACGAAGAAGTGAGAAGTGTGAAATGTGAAGTGTGAAATGTGATGATAACTTGAAGAACACCAGAAGTATTATATTGAACTTGGGTAATCAGTATTTGATTTACCTATTTCATATCCCGAATAACCAATCATCAATCAAGTATCTATCTAGTATCTAATATCTGTTTCAAACACCAGCTCATTTATCACTCGATTATCACTCGATTATCACTTCATCATCACTTCATCGTCACTTGCCCAGGTGATCCATGACCTTTTTCTCATCCAAAATGATCCCACCGAGCCCATCCCATTCCTTCCATCGGTATCTCAAATCCCGATCACACAAAGGATCACACTCCGCACTACAGTGACTGGGATACCATCAACTCACGTGATATCTCTTCCCAAAAAGGTTGAATCATTTCTTACCTCTCTCCCTCTCTTCCTCTCTGCCTCTACCCCAAAAATCTCAATCGTCTCTCCCCTTTACCTAATCAAGTAATAGCCGTACCCATACCATATTCATAGCCACACCCACCCACACCCACATTCACATCTCCCTACACCTTACCGGGAATTTTCTCTTCCGATAACCAATTGTGGTTCGACAGGCAAATCCCAAAGAATCCATATTAAAGTAAACAATTTATCAATTTATCAATTTATCCATCCATCCATCCATCCATCCATCCATCCATCCATCCATCTAATCTCATTCCCTACCCTGACACACCTCTACTCTACTTTAGTACTTTATTAGTACTTTACTACTTCTCAAAAACCTCCCTCCTCCTCCTTCTTCTTCCTTCTGGTTACAACACAATTCTCTTCAATCTTTTGATTTCCTTCTTCCCTTTTCCATAGCTAAATTCGCAGCTATGGATATCTTATCAAATGCAACCATTGCTGCAACTCCAGCTACCTTTTTAGGTATTTACGATGAGTTGAGTAAATACAATGTTCATCTCAACATATTTGAAAGACTCTGGGCGGTAAGTTGATCTCTGCCTTTCCTTTACATTGAGATATCTTCACTCTTCTCCAAAATACTCTTACTAATTATTCAATAGAGTTGGTATGCCTACATGCAAAATGATGTCCTTGCCACTGGTATCATGAGTTTTGTGATGCATGAAGTCTTTTACTTTGGTCGAAGTCTTCCTTGGGTCATCATCGATCAAATTCCTTATTTCAACAAATATAAGATTCAAGGGGTAAGACAATTCCAAATACTCGTCACATTTACAGAATCATCAGTATCAATATCTCCAACTCAACATTCACTAACTATTCCTCTCCAGAATAAAATCCCTACTGCTGCCGAACAATGGACATGCACAAAACTCGTTCTCCTTTCCCATTTCACTGTCGAACTTCCTCAAATTTACCTCTTTCACCCAATGGCAAAATACTTTGGAATGGGTACCGATGTCCCTTTCCCATCGATCTTCACCATCGCCTATCAAGTTGCCATCTTTTTCGTTTTAGAAGACACCTGGCATTATTGGATGCATCGCGCCATGCATTACGGATGGCTTTACAAGAAAGTTCACAAAATTCATCATCAATACTCTGCACCCTTTGGTCTCGCTGCCGAATACGCATCACCAATCGAAGTTATGGTTCTCGGTCTCGGAACTGTCGGATCTCCAATTCTCTGGGTTATGCTCACCGGAAACCTCCACATTTTGACCATGTATATTTGGATCGTGTGCAGACTTTTCCAAGCAATTGATGCTCATAGTGGTTATGAATTCCCTTGGTCGCTACATCATTTCTTGCCTTTCTGGGCTGGTGCTGAACATCATGATACTCATCATGAGAAGTTTATCGGAAATTACGCAAGCAGTTTCAGATGGTGGGATTATGTTTTGGATACCGAGAGTGGACCTGAAGCTGCCAAGAGAAGAAGAGAGAGAAAGATGGAGAAGGAAGCAAAGATTGCAAAGAAGGCTCAGTAAATATTTACTTAGCCTTATCTCTGCCCCAGACGAATGAGAAAGTGGAGGCTGTACATATTATGTCATAGGCCACTTCAATGGGCTCATTTGATCTCTGGGAAATAGGTATTATCCATCAAGGTTATGGATACACGTCCATCCGGAAGGATGAACAGAAAAATAGATGACTACGAGAGATGATAGATGAGAGATTCACAAAGTTATATTCTGGTAATAAGGGTATGGTTTTTGAGATTTCCGCGAAGATACCGGAAATTCAATCACTGTTCAGAGATGTGCATACATGTAATGCAGGCGTTGTGGGAAGAGGAGAGAGGGGATGTATGAAATTCTTCTTCTTTTTTATAGATTACATACGTACTTATACCTAATTAATACTTTTTTATTGATCATATTTTTCATGAAGCTACTGAAATGCATATTTGGGAGGAGTATTATACTTTGAGAACATATTAGGTATATAAGTAGGTACTTTTATTCTAATATCTCTTCTGTTCGGATATGGTATGATGTACTGTGATGTGCTGTGCTGTGGTATGGTATGATATGGTATGGTGAAAAGCTCTCTTTCTTTATATATATATACATATACAGATACAGATACACATACAGATACGTATATACATACATACATCTATGCAATTATCTATCAACCAGCTACTATCAACTAGCTACCAGTAATCTGCTACCCGCTATTTATCAACCCATCTATTCATTTATTTATTTATTTATCTATTTATCTATCTACCAAGCAAGCTATCAACCAGCTATCAACCAGCTATCAACCAACTATCAATAACCTATATAACCCAACATCTCCTCTCACAAAACCCAACCCTTTCCCAAAATCTCACCTCACCTCACCTCCTCCTCCAAACCCCCATTCCCCATCCCCCTCTCAAAACCGCCAATCCCCACGCCATCCCCAAGCTATCCCACATAACATTCAATTTACTACCTCCGACCTCCTGCCAGGCAATCGGCTGTTCAGAAACTTTGATTCCTTTTTCTTTTCCTTTTCCATTCCCATTTCCTCTTCCCTTCTCCCCCTCCCCCTCTCCATCCTCCACACCCGGCGCACTCTCAGCCAACATGAGCATTTCGACGTCGAAAATCCAGCCTTCGGCATGCATATACGGGATGATGTGGGGGAGGGCCGCGCGAGTGAAGAGTTTGAATCCGCATTGGGTGTCGCGGATGCGGGAGGTGGCGGGGGGTGTGAGGAGACGGAGGAGGAGGTGGAAGGAATGCATTAGGGTGTTGCGGAGGGCGGAGCGCTATGGGGGAGGGGTGTTAGTTTTGTTTTTTGGGGATGGGGGGTTAAGGATGGAAGGATGGATAGATGGATAGATGGATTGGGGGGTAAGGAGGGGGTTGGTGGAAGTAGAAATAGGAAATATAGTATGGTGAAGTGAAGAAAAGAAAACGTAAACTGTTTCCCTCCGTCACGCTACCAATCTCCGCTCAATGGAATGTGATGTGAAAAAAGAGAGAAAAATACCTTAACAACCGCTTCACTTCCCACCAACCAAGCTCTACTTCCCACCGCCACACCTCTCCCCTCCTCATCCACCACCTCCTTAACCCCCTTTACAAGCTTCCCCAAATCCGCAAACCGACTCGCTCCATCCGCATCAGCAAACACCGCATATTCCCCCCTCACATGTCTCATGCCATGCGTAACCGCACCTCCCTTCCCGCGATTCTCCTCCAACGTCACAATTCTCAAAACATCGTGCAAATCATTCTTCCGCGAAAACTCCAACGCGATCTCCACCGTGCGATCTCGACTCCCATCATTCACCAATAAAATCTCATACCCCGTTCCCGTCCCTTTTCCTTTCGCCACACGTCCATATGTCGTATCGAGAAACGAAAGCGCTTCTTCCAACATGCCGATTAACCGTTCCTCTTCATTATATGCCGGCACCACCAGACTCATTTCTAGAGTTGCGGGTTCGATTGCCCCGGTGCGGATATTATTTTGCGCGGATGAACCACTCTTCGAAACCGAGGCTTCGCGATGCGCGACCCAAGAATCATACCAACAGGTTAAGGGCTTGGTTTCGGTGGTGCCGGAGGCAGTGGTGGTTATGTATGTTTTTTCGGATGGGTAGGGAGGTCTGGGGACGGGCGCGACGAGTAGGAGGAGAGCGTATATCTGGATTGTATAGTATTAGCATGATTTCCAAACTTCTAAAGTATAAGATCCATTTCCCATCCCAGAAGATAAATCTCTCTCTGATAATCATAACCCCCAGCAAACCCCCCCAAAGAGAAAGAAAAGATAAACTCACACAACCTAATCCTACAACCACCAACCCGATCAAAATCAACCCCAATATATGCGCCGGCGTATCCCTCACCACCTCCCATAATCCCCCTAATATCTGCAACGGAAGTTCGAGTAACCCCTCCATATCGAAGTTTAAGTAGAGTAGCAAGATTCCTCCGTCTTCCTTTCTTTTCCTTCTTCCCTTTCTCGAATCCTCGAAATGCGCTAGGAATTCCGCAGATACAATTATCAAGCAAGCAAGCAATCAATCAATCAATCGAATCGCAAAAGCCGCTCGTTCTGTTCGTTGCGCGCAACCCAGATTCTCGAAACCTGCAATCGCAATCACAATCGCACACAATCGCAATCACAATCAACAATTCCCCTCAGCTCCGACTTGCCCTCCAAACATCCAAATTCCCCTCCAATTCCCCCAATTTCTCTGATTCCTCCAATTTTTCCAATCCACAGATCTCCAATCCACAGAACACCCACTCACTCGTTCAGAAAGGAACGTATGTATGTAAGTATGCAAGTACCTATGTATGTATGTACGTGCCGACCGGACCAAAATAATTAAAATCAACCAAGATACCGATACCCAACCCAGGTGAGTAAGTACCTTAGTAAATGAAAAAATCGAACAAGTAAACCCAGGACTAACAAAATAAATCCATAAATAAATAAATAAATAAATCAATTGAATCAATTGGAGCCGGTTAGAATTTATCTTCAATCTTCAATCTCAATCTTCAATCTCAATCTCAATCATCATATGCACATAAGAACACGTTCTCCAAAACCCAAAACCAAACCAAACTCACGGCCTCACCTCGTACCCTTACCATGTACCGTACGGAGTATGTACCATGTCATGTTACAGCCCACCGTCCACCGCCCATCCACTCTGGTCCAAGCGTCTCATCTAATCTGGGGACACTTACGAGTATCTATGTACCTACGAGCCTACCTACCTACCTTCGGCTACGAATTGAATTGAATTGAATCGAATTGAATCGAATTTAAATACAATACAAGATCCGATTGAATTAGCTGACGCGGCAGGTTGTAGCTTATCTACCTATCTAGGAGGAAATGAGGGCTTTTTATATTCATAGTATAATAAATATAGAATCGCTATATAACTACCTAGGTAATTAAATACTTTTATCTAATATAATTAAAAGCTAGAAAGTAAGTAGTAGTAAGTGAAATACTATAATCGATATAAAAACCCTATAAATATAAGTAATTCTATAAATGTAGATACAAAATAAATATAAATTTAAATACTCAGTAATCTTCAATTTTGAGATTATTCAGAATAAGAGAATATAGAGAGTTTAATTAATCATTAATTATATGTTTATTATTGTGATTATCTCCTCTATAACTTATATAATATTATTAGAATAAACTCTAACTAACTCGCATTATTCTAAATTCAAAAATCTGAAGTATATTAATTTAAAAGCTTTATAGTAATAACGATTAAATACAAACTAACTAAGTATAACTTTTATATATTACTCTATTAATATTATATAAGAGTGGTCGGCGAAGACGAAGTCCTACCTGTACGCGGTGCTGGCTACAAACCTAAGGATATTACTATTAAAGAAAGAGGAGTTGTACATCTTGATCAAATGAAGTAAGAATACTCAGAGCTAACAGGACTTGTATGATAATGGAATATCTTGAGGTAGATAAATGAAATAGCTCTATAAAGTATATGAAAATGTATATAATAGTTATTTATTTATTTATTTATTTATAGTGATTAACGTCTTGTGGAGGACCTCCCAAGGGGTATGAAAGATGTGACTAGATCTAGAGTTACAAATACAGAAAGGCGCTGATGTGTATGCTAGTAAAACCTTATAGGGTAAACCCAGTTCCTTCTATATATCCTAAACAAGCTAGTATAATGATTGCAAATAGGGCTGTTTGATTGGCCCCATATTCCTAGCGTTTCCTTTTGCTCATGGAGAGGAGCGCTCTGATTGTATAATTACTTCTGTTATAGAATCATATTTTATAAACAGGAATGGTATATATAGGTATACCGCTTCAAAAAAACAGGTATATGTGTGATGGTGCTCCAGAGGAGCGGAGGGTTCGGCTATTAGGCCATTTAAAAGGAGCGGCTGGAATAGTAGTTCTGTTTGATAGCGGAGTAGTGCATAGGCATAGTGGTAGTGGCTGGAAAGGGGATCACTAGTTCCTCCTCAGCACTTGATCGATTGCTTTTGCGGCTTATAATAGAAAAGCTCTATTAGGATTAGTAATAAATTATTGAAGCTTAAAGGAGCTATGTTATGAGATCCATATTAAAATAGTCTATGAGATAACATATAGAGTAAATCCATATGAATCCTAAAGATAAGGATTAGTCTATATATACGAAAATTTCGTTGCTATAATCTTATATCGTAGAACAATGGGAGAGTGGCCCGATCACTTTACCACTGAACCAGCCGGGCTCCTTGCGGAGGACAATGGTCTTTTTGTCTATATAATAGTTATGAATAAGTAAATAAGCAATTACGATATATATATTTTAAAACAAATTGTTAAGCTAAATATACAGAAGAATAACAAATAATCTATTTATTAAATACTCTCTAGGAGATTTTGATATAAAGAAAATATAAATTACATAAAACACTATATATTAAATAACATATAATAAACAATAAATAAAGAAATACTTTAAATCAATCTAATTGAATAAAAGACTAGATTGATAATAATTAAAAGAAGAAAGGTTTTAGAAAAAATACTTGTTGGTGTTTATAGCATATTCTTTATATTTTCGATAAATTCACACTTTTCTGAATATCTGAATTTTTATTATACAATTTACTTTTCTTTTACTCAATCAAAATAAAAAATGAAAAGCTTTTTATAAAAGTAGAATATCTTATTTTTTTATTAAGCTTACTCTTTATTCCTATAAACAATAATTAGAGTAATTAAGCTCTATATCCTTTACAATAATAATATTATTATAATAAAAGAAAGAAGAAAAGGAAGGAAAGGAGGAAGGATATTGTATAACAAAAAAGAGATTAGTTTATCTAAGAAGAGAAAGCTTTTAAATTCTAAAAGGCTGGCTTTATTTACCTTATTAAAGTATATACAAATACTAATACCTAGCTATTCAAATGATATTTAATTATATTCCTCTAATTATTAGTTATAAAGAGAAATACAAAACCAAATTCATTTATTAAATTTATTATTCTTTTTTTCAGATCAATTTTTGAGGCGATTGTTTTAAATTCAGTAATTGTAATTATAAAGAAGCAAACAGTTTCTCTTATTGATATTAAACTATTAAATTCAAGCGATACAAGAAAAACTGAATTTCCCCTCTAAGGTTTTACTAGTATATATATTAGCACTCTTCTATATTTGTAACTCTTTATCCTGACATGTCTAAATACCCTTCGGGAGGTCTAAAACAGACGTTAATTAATATAAATAAATAAATAAATAAATAAATAAATAAATAAATAAATTATATAAGAGTTAATTTGAAAGAAAAAAAGATATATAAAAAATTCAGATGTAATTAGATAAAGTCTTATATTCAAAATATATTTAATTTATTCTTTTATTACTAATTTCAATTAAATTAAATAATTCTAGATTAGAAAATTACAATAATTTCAAGTTTGTATTTATTATCACAAAATGACACTAAGCCCTTTTTATCCTGTCCTGTCCTACTATATATGTGAGAGTAAGGTAGAACTTCCAATTCTACCTTTTAGTCTTTTGAGCATTTAGCTCAGCGGTAAAGCTTTTGAATATTCCTAAAGATAATTCCATGATATTAAATAAAACTACTCTTGATTATAAGTAGAGCTGTGTGGGGAGTCCATTTATAGCTTACAAGCCTTTATTGATTTGAAAACTAGTATATATAGATCCTATCTATCTATCTAAATACCTAAGATATTAGAATCCAGAATCCTAAATCCTGAAACCTTCTAGTAGGTGATGGTATGGAGACTATATCTTAAGGAAAAGGATAATATTACGAGATAACACTAAGCCCTTTCTGTCCTATTCTGTCCTACTATATATGTGAGAGTAAGGTAGAACTTTTAGTTCTACCTCCTAGTCTTTTAAGCATTTAGCTCAGCAATAAAGCTTCTGAATTGTGTGAACAAGGGAATTCACTTCAAAAGAATGACTTCAATATAATGGCTACTGTATCAAAGGTATTTAGGCGAATGCGAAGGAGACTAGCTCTTTCAGTAGTGCCTATATAAGGCCTACTACTTCCCCTCATTAGCTAGCTCTTTAGACAGAATACAATACAGACATTTAGGGGCCTACTAATGATAATGGGAATTATGTCTCTCGTATTCCTAATCTCATTATTAAACTAATACTAATTAGTAATATTACAAATTATTTAATTTATTTATTCAAAATATCTTTTCACTTTTATTTCTTTTATTTCCTGTTATCAATATTATAACATCCCGGGGAAGCGCTAGCACTAACTCTAAGCAAGCTAGCAAGAAACTCGATACTGATAAGAAACCTATTTCATCTGATTAATCCATTGGTATAAAAGGATTTATTAATACGATAACTAATGATACCAATTTTTTATAACAAAAGTTCAAGACTTCTTTCTACGAAAATATAACCAATGCTCCTCCTTATCCTTTTGTTTTTTTTTAATCTTTATATTTCTAACAAAATAATAATTAAAGAAAGAAAAACTTAGAAAACTACTAAGGATTTGAAATTCAAAAGAGAATCTCAAAACTATTTCTTTTCAAAAGATTTCAATAAAGCTAGATAATTTTATAAAGAATATATATTCAAAATAAGAATAAAGTATTAGATTGATAAATACTTTCTTTTTCGAATAGCTGTATATTCGAATATAAGGATTATTAATGTATCTCTTTAGAATATAATCATATTCGATTTCGAATTTATTTGATGAGCTTTATTCAGAAGTATTAATAAGTTGATATTATATAACTTTTGCAAGGTTTTGTGATATTATAGAGTTTATATCAATATAAATGCAAATCTCGATAATATTTTAATGAAAGCATTTCTTTACAAAAAGTATTATGATTGGATTACAGATCAATTTTTGAAATATCAGATTAATAAGGTATAATCATTTGTATCTACAAAATAAATCTACCTTCTTATTGGACTCAATTTGAGATCATAAGTTAAACCTTTTATTGAACCTCAGAATAATACTTCAGCTAGTTATTTAACTTTATTAAAACCTAGCAAAATTATAAGTGATTCGATTATTCCTTTTGATATACATAAAAGACTAGCTCCATTCCAATCTGGGGATATACAAGTCCCATGTATACCTTTACCAGTATCAAATCAGACTCTAGAATTTTATTGATTGATGTTTTTATAGGATTACCTAATAATAATAATAATCCAGATGATAATAACGATTAGAATGATGATTGAGATAACAATAATGATAAAGGCAGCAGTAATAATGATAGAGATAGTAATAGAGGTGATAGAGATAGGGATCATTCTAATCATTCTAATTACAAAAACAATAATCAATACAATCAGAGCTATTATCTTATTAATCTTTTGAAAATCTATAGAGATAATAATAGATATAAGGGTATCGATGATTCCTTTGATTTGAAAATCTTTATATTCGAAAAGCATTATCACAAGATATTTATACCAATAAAAATGATTATAACAGCCTTTCCGATTATACTTACAAGCACAACTAGAAATTATTATTAGA